GCTGGGAAAAAATGTGTAAAGTTACGCTACTGTTTATCTATGAAAGAGAGGGAATATGGAAATATATACATATTTGCTTATACTTTAAAATGTAACGATAAACTACAACTTTTTAAAAAATGGCTATACATACAGGGAGAAAGGGACAGAGTACAAGGGAGATTTCTCTGAATATACTTTTTAGGATCAAAAGCAACATTTCATATAATTATAAATAAAATTTCTAAAATCCAAACCTAATATGAAACCCATAACCTAATTATATACCCAGTTAGTTTACAACCACACAGAGAAGACTATTAGAAATGAGTTTAAAGCTTAGGAATGAGATTACCCATCTCTGAAGGATCTACCCTAAGAGATGTTGTTTTTGTTGCTCTTTAATGGAAAAAAATATTAAACTATTTTTAGTAATCACAACTCAGCAAAATCTAGACCATAAGGGAACTTTCAGGACAAAGGACCTGCTTTCTCCAACAACAACATCAACAAAAAAGAGGGTGCTATGGTCTGAACGTTTGTGTCCCCCCAGAATTCATGTTGAATGAAATTCTTGCCCCCAAAGGTGATGATATTAAGAGGTGGGGTATCCTTATAAAAGAGACCCCACAGGGGCGCCTGGGTGGCTCAGTCAGTTGAGCGTCCGACTCTTGATTTCAGCTCAGGTCATGATCTCAGGGTCATAGGATTAAGCTTAGGATTCTCTCTCTCCTCCCCCTCTGCCCCTTCCCCTGTGCCCCTGTTCCCTGCTCCCATGTGTACATGCACTCTCTTTCTCTAAAAAAAAAAGAGAGAGACAGACAGACCCCACAGTGCTCCCTCATCCCTTCTGCCATGTGAGCATACAAGAAGTCTGCAACCCAGAAGAGGGCCTTCACCTGACCATGCTGGCACCCTGATCTCAGACCTCCAGAACCATGAGAAATACATTTCTGTTTATAAACTACCCTATAGCAGCCTGAACACACTAAGACGAGGGAGAGGGGGAAGAAGGAAGGGGGGTAAGAAAGGATGGAAGGGAGCCAGAATATTAAGAGACAGAAGACTTTTAAAAGAGACAGATGTGTGAAGCTTATCTGAATCATAATCCAACAAATTTTTTTAAAATTATAAAACAGCTAGGGCGCCTGGGTGGCTCAGTTGGTTAAGCGACTGCCTTCGGCTCAGGTCATGATCCTGGAGTCCCTGGATCGAGTCCCACATCGGGCTCTCTGCTCGGCAGGGAGTCTGCTTCTCCCTCTGACCCTCCCCCCTCTCATGTGCTCTCTCTCTCTCATTCTCTCTGTCTCAAATAAATAAAATGTTAAAAAAAAAAAATTATAAAACAGCTAGCATAATATAGTGATGTTTGATAAACTTTTATTTTTTCTAGATGTGGAACAGTATTTTGATTAATTTAAGAATTCCATAAACACCGAAGTATTTATGAATAAAATAATAATAATTGGCAAAGTTGATAATGATGTATGGGGGTTCTTTATACAAATCTATTCTATATAATACATTCAAAATTTTTTCTTAATCAAGTAGGAAAAAGCACTTCTCGATGCACACAAACTGCGTGTATGTGCGCGCATGCACACATGGCAATCAGGAAAATGTGAACAGTGAATGACATCCATTAATGTTAAGGAATTATTGTTAATAGCTTCAGGTGTAAGAATGATATTCTGGTTAAAATCTTTTGTGTGTTTTTTTTTTAAGATTTTATTTATTTATTTGACAGAGACACAGCAAGAGAGGGAACACAAGCAGGGGGAGTGGGAGAGGGAGAAGCAGGCTTCCCACCGAGCAGGGAGTCTGATGCGGGGCTTGATCCCAGGACCCTGGGATCATGACCTGAGCCGAAGGCAGATGCTTAACGACTGAGCCACCCAGGCGCCCCTGGTTAAAATCTTTTGAAACGAAATAGTTATAGATTAAAAAAACACCTGGAATTTACTTCAAGATAAGCCAAGGCTGGGGGCACCTGGGTGGCTCAGTCGGGTGAGCATCCGACTCCTGGTTTGGCTCAGGTCATGATCTCAGGGCTCCACGCTCAGTGAGGAATCTGCTTGAGATTCTCTCTCCCTCTCTCTTTGCCCCTCCCCCCCCGCTCTTGCTTGCTCTCTAAAAATGAATAAATAAAATCTTAAAAAAAAAAAGATAAGCCAAGGCTGGGAGAATTAGTGGGGAGTAGTTAAAAAAGACTGGCCAGGGACGCCTGGGTGGCTCAGTGGGTTAAGCAACTGCCTTTGGCTCAGGTCATGATCCCGGGGTCCTGGGATCAAGTCCCGCATCAGGCTCCTTGCTCAGCAGGGAGTCTGCTTCTTCCTCTGCCTGCGCTCCCCCTGCTTGTGCTCTCTCTCTCTGACAAATAAATAAATAAAATCTTTTTTAAAATAAATAAATAAGACTGGCCATATATCAACAATTGTTAATACATGGTGACAGATACATTGTTATGATTATGCTCTCTCTGCTTTTGTATATATTTGAAATTTTGCATAATAAGAAGTTTTGAAAAATAGGTTCTCCAGACTCCCATAACAGCCCTGAGCGTCTGTCCATCAGCAAAAGAACAGTCCGCCCCTGTGCTGAATCCACAGAGGAAGATCAGGCAGCAACCAACAGAACAAACTATGTGCACCCATGGCAACCTGGACAAACATCTCGGACGGCAGGTAGAGCAGGGGCGGCCAAACAGAAGGGCACGCGGCTCCATGTATATGAGCTTCCCGAGCCAGCAGCAACCCCCCCACCCCCAGGAAACACCCAGGAGCGCGGCCTGGACCAGAAATGCATGCGTGCAGGCTCGCAGCAGCATGACCCACAGCGTCCGGAACGTGGACGCCACCCAGCTGTGCATCACGGAGGCACGGACGCACGACACGCTATTCTTTAACCTTCAGGGAATGAAGCCCGGGCGCGCCAGGACACTGGTGACCCCCGAGGGCGTTATGATCTGCCAGGAGGCCAGTCACAAAAGGACAAGTCCTGTAGGATCCACTCTCAGGACATCCTGCAGCGATCCGACGCACAGAGACAGAGCCGCTGGGCCGGGGAGCCGCTGGGGACGGAGTTCCGGTGTGGGACGATGGAAATGTTCTGGAGGGGGAGGGTGGCGACAGCTGCTGGACACCGAAAATGTACTCAATGCCCCTGAACCGAACGCTTAGAAATGTTAACGTTAAGATGTGAAGTTTTGTTTTCTGTATTTTACCATGATTTGAAAGGAAGGAGAACACCTAATGCTGAGTGGAGGAAAGCCATCGGCGGTCACCCGGCAGGGGTGGAGACGGGGAAGGCACACCTGGGAAGGAACCTCCCAGAATGACAGCAACGCGATGCCCGAGGGCTGGGGTAGTGGGTACACAGATGGACACCTGTGTCAGAAACCAATGAGCAGAACTCTTCAAATGGCTGTACTGTGGGGCGCCTGCGTGGCTCAGTTGGTTAAGTGTCTGCTAAGTGTCTGCCTTCGGCTCAGGTCATGATCCCGGGGTGGTGGGATCCAGTCCCGCATCAGGTTCCCTGCTCAGCAGGGAGCCTGCTTCTCCCTCTCCCTCTGCTCCTTCCCATTGCTCATTCTCTCTCTCTCTCCAATAAATAAATAAAATCTTTTTAAAAAATTTTTTTAAAAAATACGTTCTCCAAATTTTAATGTAAGGTTTGTAAAATTTCTGTACTTATCCATCCTACCTCATGAGGCTTTATGAAGACTACATGAAATGAATGAAATAAAGTGAATGTAATTAAAATGAATAGAAATCCTGCCCTTTATTTTCTCCGCTGGTGGGACAGAATGAAAAGAGTACTGAGCTTGAGGTTTAAAAATCCTGACTCATTATGTTGATCATCACTTTCTTGGTGATGCCCTTCATCACTGTCTTCCCTCTCTCGACCAGAAGCTCCTTAAAGACAGAAACCCTGTCTACCTTGTTCGCCACCGTGTCCTTGGTGATTAACCCAATGCCTGGTATGAACGAATAAACTTGAGCTCAAGTTCCTATTCAGTAATGTGGAGCAAGGACTATGACTGTTCTATTCTGCACCCAACCTCAATGCTGCAGTGCAATCAGTATTTGTGGTATAGAGGCTGGACAATTTACTTAACCTCCCCAAACCTCAGCTTTCTCCTCTATAAAATGGAAATAACATCTTTCTCAACAAGTTGATCTGACCTACTGTGGTTTTAAGGACTTCATGTGGCCATTCATTCATTCGTCCCACAAATATTTATGAATTCTAAAGTCCTATAGAAAGTATGTAATAATCTATTGTTCCCATAAACAGAATAGTAATAATAAAATGACACAAACATTAGCTAAATGTAAATACCCATTCAACAAATATTTATGGAGTTTCTACTGTGTACTAGGCACCGTGCCACATGCTAGGGGTAACTATGAAGGTAAGTATGATACAATTCTTGTTTTTGAGGAAGTTTTCAGTCCAATGGATGAGAAGAGAAAGAACGACATTACAATACGAATTGGTAAGTGACATACCAGAGTGAAACAGGAACACAGCACATTCCCTCTGGAGACATTCTCCTACCCAAGTTGGTTTCAGGAAAGAAATCATTCACTTAACTTCCCGAAGTTATAAATGTCAACTCCCAAATTAAAACCGCCGTGAGGTATTTCACTTTTACTTATTCACTGCAATAAGGCTATAGATTCTTTCTAAAGAAGCCAGCCAATGCTGGAAATCTTCCAAAGGAATTAGATCCTTTTGTTTTTCTGGGTTTTTGCCAGCAGTCCAAACCAAAAGAGGCAAATGGAGCTATTGGCTCATCCATTTAATATTAACTGCCAACTCCCTTCTCCCAGAACACAATGCCCTTCTATTTCAAAGAAGCCCCCTCAGCAACTTGTTCCATGTCAATCAATGGCTGAATTAAGAAAGAACACAGATTTGAGTCTTTCAGATCCAATTCCAAATACAGGGCCAACTTCTCTCTCATTAAAAATAGGATTTAATAACTCGTGTAAAAAAAATTTTTTTTAATAACTTACCTCAAATTCTTCCCAAAAGCCTTGTTTGACTTTATCTGTGGTCTCAGCTAATTTGCTTAGTTCTCGAACCCGGCTTTCTATTTCAGCAGCATTGATACGTGTTGTGTTGAGGGGCTAATCAAATTCAGCAGTTGGTGTGAAATGAAGAAAGTATTACAAAAAAAAGTGTTAATGCAAAAAAAAGAGTTCCATGTTGATAATTCGTAAGGCAAGGACAGGAAATTCAAAGGACACGGTAATTCACAATAAAAGTTTTCAAATACAGTTTCACTTTCTTTTCTATTTTGTGAGGAAATATATCTTTCTTCAATCTCCACACACACTTTACTCTGGTAATATAAATTCAAACCTATTTTTCTTTATAAATAGACCACAACATTATTTAGAGAGATGATATAATCTGCCACTAGGTAAACTTCGAAATAGCAGTAACTCCAAAGTGAGTTGAGTGTAATAGCCCAAAGATAACCAAAGGTAGATCTAGATTGCAAACTTGGTAAAAGCTTGCTTTAAAAACTCTATGAGGCCTTTTAGACATACACATGGAGATAATCATGGAAATGATGTAATATCTGGCATTTGTTTCCAAATACCACAGGAGAAGGGCAGTGAGCACAGTAACAATGAAATAAGACTTGGTAAGCTGATCACAACTGAAGCTGGGTAATGGGTGTTTGGAGGTTCTTGAGACTATTCTACTACTCTATATTTGGAATATTCTATATTAGGATTTTTTAAAACTTTATAAGGAGATGGAGCTTTAGCTTTCCAATATGCTCACCTGCTTGAGTTGTAGTACTGTGCCCAATGTTTCCACCATGGGATTCTTCTTGTAATGCTCCACAAGATCTGTCAAAGAGTCAAACCGTTCTCCTCCACCAACATCATATTTCAGTTCCTTTAAGACAAAACAAAACAAAATCCTGCTTATCACCTTTATGTTAAATTACAGTTTTTCCCAACTGAAGTACAGAGACTAACTCTCCCCCTCAGATCAAGGAGCTGTAGGAGCAGAAAGGAGAGGAAGCGAGGATGATGAACCTGAAAGGCTGGCCCAATGTGAAAGAGCTGACTGTGAGGTGTGAGAAGCTCTAAGTAAGTATCTCTCAGCAACTAGGGAACAAAAAATTGTCCCCTTTGTAAGTTAACTAATTAGTTAAAGAAATGAAAAACAGTATTCTTTACTATTTACTTACACATACAGGCTAAGGAACTACAGAGCAGGCTGCTGAAGAGAAGGTAAATAACAATTTCTCTCTGAAATACAACAAACTCCAAGGCTGGGTAGGCAGCACTGAAGGCCAACATACATGTCTCTACTTTCCTCTTCTAATGAAAATTTAAAAGGGAAATTATAAACAGAGGCCAGGAAATTTCTTCTGACAAAAAGATCAAAATAGGCTATTTCAGGGAAACAACAGGAAAAGACGTTATTATTATTAAGAAAATACAATACCCTAGAAATTATATATGAAGATATTTGGGTACAATCTTTTATTTAAAAATAAAACAGAGGGGCGCCTGGGTGGCTCAGTCGGTTAAGCATCTACCTTCGGCTCAGGTCATGTCATGATCCCAGGATCCTGGGATCGAGCCCCACAAAAGGCTCCCTGCTCGGCGGGGAGCCTGCTTCTCCCTCTCCCACTCCCCCTGCTTGTGTTCCCTCTCTCGCTATGTCTCTCTCTGTCAAATAAATAAATAAAATCTTTAAAAAAAAATAAAATAAAACAGTGATGGAAGGGTGGGAAAGAAGCACTTTCAGAATGACAAAGTCAGGACACCTCTGAAAATCCATTCTTTCATAAAAGCAACAAAAACACTAGTAGGGACGCCACGCCTGGGTGGCTCAGTCGGTTAATTTGGGAAAAAAAAAAACTTAATTGGGAAAAAAAACTTCCCACTTAAACTGGGAGGAAAAAAAACAAGCTTTAGGGATGCCTGGGTGAATCACTTGGTTAAGTGTCTGCCTTTGGCTCAAGTCATGATCCCAGAGTCCTGGGATGGAGTCCCATGTGAGGCTCCTGCTCAGCGGGGAGTCTGCTTCTCCCCCTCCCTCTCCCTCTGCTGCTCCCCCTGCTTGTGAGCGCGCACTCTCTCTGACAAATAAACAAAAAAAAATTCTTAAAAAAAAAACAAACCACTAGTAAAAATTGTCATCAAATTTTTCAGAACTCTGGAAATTAACCAAGAACTTGCAACAGTCCAAGGAACATTCATTCAAGAAAAATGACTGAATCTTGGTAAGGAGCAAACTGTGGCATTTTAACTTGCCGTATATTCCCAAGTATCTCTCTCTAGCTCTTCTGTAGCCTTGAAAACCAACAGCCTCATAACCATGGTAACTGTGAAAGCCAGCAACCTAGCACACCTAGAGGGGACAGAATGAATTTCGGAGCTCTCGAGTAACCTATCCCCAGAGAATAATCCCTGTGGGCAAACCTTGTTTTACTGCACTTTGCTTTATTGAATATATTTCAAGTCTTTATCTGGGCTTTGCAAATATTGAATATTTGCAGATAAATATTTTTAACAAATTAAAGGTTTGTGGCAACCCTGCATCAAGCAAGTCTATTGGCAGCCATTTCCCAACAGTATTTGTTCACTTTGTGTCTCTGTGACATTTTGGTAATTCTTTCAGTATTTCAAACTTTTTAATTATTATTATTATATTTGTATAATAATATAATACTGTGATCAGTATTATGACTCACTGAAAGCTCAGATGATGGTTCGTACTTTTTAGCAATAAAGTATTTTTTAATTAAGGTATGTTGTCCAAAAAAAAAAAGTATATTGTCTATTGTTTTTCAGACATAATGCTTGCACTCTTAATAAACTACAGTGTAGTACAGCATAAACATAACTTTTATATGCACTGGGAAACGAAAAAATTAATTTGACTTGCTTTATTGCAGTATTCATTCTACTGCAGTGGTCTGGAATTGAACCCATAATATCTCTGAGATATACCTGTATTTGACCTATTTAGCAGCTCCCTGGAAAAGTCCTGTTTTCAGAGCTTATGTTTATTTGACCTGACTTAGAGCTCACTCAGCCCTGTCTTCAGGGGATCTGCCCAAAACAATCAGCAGCAACTGTTTAATATCACAGCAGCCCATGGCGGCAATACCAGTTAAGGCAAATAAGAGACTGACCAAAATGAAAACAAGGAAAATCTAGGCAATGTCCACAGAGGGCTTGGAAAACCTCTAACATAGAGAGACAAACCAAGAAACAGACTCTTAATTATAGAGAGCAAACTAATGGTTATCAGAGAGGAGGCAGGTGGAAGGATGGGGAAAATAGGTGACATGGATTAAGGAGTGCACTTGTTGTGATGAGCACTGGTTTTTGTACGGACAAGTTGAATCACAATATTGTACACCTGAAACTAATATTACACTATATGTTAACTAACTGGTATTTAAATTAAAAGTTAAAAAAAAAACTCTAACATATTCTTGAGAAGCTAGAAGGCTTTATGTATGTGCAGGGCTGTGTAAAGTCAGGGGAGGATCCAAGAAAAACCTAATCTTCACCTCTAGCTGACCTTGAGGTTCTGCACAAACAGAAAGTGAAGGCTAAGGCAAAGTTGTAATCCGCCAGGGCGCTGAAACCGTGCCCCAATACACACACACACACACACACAGCCCCCTTGGCAAAGGTTGGGAGACTTAATGGTTCATGGCATTTAAGGAAACCTCTGTCCAATCATTAACTGACCACTAAGCTAACCAAGCAAAGACTTGTGGCTACACATGGCAAAGAATAAAGGAAAGTCACCAAACATAGAGTAATGTAATAACTACAGCAACAATAAAAAGTAGCAACAACCCTGGAAAAGATGACATCTGATTTCCAGAATCACCACATCATATTATTTAAAATGTCTAGTTTCCAACAAAAAAATTAGGAAACATGCACAGAGATGGGAAAGTATGGACCAAACAAAGGGGGGAAAAAGCACTCAATAGAAACTGTCCTTGAGAAAGCCCAGATAAAGACTTGAAATCAGCTAGTATAAATATGTTCAAAGAACTAAAGGAAACTGTACTTTATAAGTTAAAAGAAAATATGAGGATGTTGTCTCACCAGATAGAGAGTATCACAAAAATCTGTACACAAATGTTCATAGCAGCATTATTCATAATAGCCAAAATGCCCATAAATTTTTTAATGGAGAAACAAAATGTAGTCTAGCCATACAATGGAGTATTTGACAATAGTTTGTTGACACACACCACAATATGGATAAACCTTGAAGACATCATGCAAAGTAAAAGAAACCAGATGCAAAAGCCACAGATTATATGATTCTATCTATATGAAATATCCAAAACTGGCAAATCCATAAAAACAAAAAGTAGATTGGTGGATGCCAAGAGGTGGAGGGAGAGGAAATAATGGGGAGCGACTGGTAACGGACACAGGGTTTCTTTTTGGGGTGCTGAAAATGTTCTGGAATTAGTGTCAGTAGTTGCATAATATGTGCATATACCACAAACCTGTCCACTTTAAAAAGGTGAATTGTATGGTCTGTGAATCGTACCTCAATAAAGCTGGGGTCTTTTAATATATATTTAATTTAAAAACTGAAGAAATACGTGAATAGACAGTTTCTTTTTAGGAAAGTTTGACATAGTTGACCAAGAATCAATCTCCTTAGTCCTGTCGCCACATTAAAAACAAGAAATTGTGAGTTCAGGGGCGCCTGGCTGGTCAGTTGGTGGAGCACGTGACTCTTTACCTCGGGGTTGTAAGTTTGAGCCCCGTGTTATGCGTAAAGATTCTTAAAAATAAAATCCAAGAAAGAAAGGAAGGAAGGAGGGAAGAAAGACAGTAAGAAAGAGTGAGTTCAATTCTCCTAGCCTTGACGCAGGAACTCTAATATGAAGGAAAATGCAGGCACAGGCCAGACTGACAATCCTAAGGAGGAGCTGAGGCCATCACTTCAGAAACAGGGAGACTGAGGCCGACTCTAGCAAAAACAGATCAGGTGCTCCAGGGCAAAAGGTGATGTGCTGAGGCATGACTTAATCTGCCAGCAACAGACTGGAAAGAAATAATTTAATAAAGTTCTGAAATGATGAAACCAATGTAATAAATAATACTCTAAAAACATATAAGCCTGTGACTGAGCAAAGAAAATCTGACTTTGGAAGTGATGTCTGTCTTCCTGAGCAGAAGAATCACCCAAAGACGACATTTTGCCGGACCGGTAGTTCAAGTGGGACTTTACCTGACAGCGGATCATGACGTGGGTCACTTTAGACTTGCCATCATTGCTCTCCCCTTTGTCGTCACCAGTTCGGACAGACAGAACAAAATCTCCGGGGTGGCTCTGGCTCTCTCGTACCAGAAAGCTACCGTGTTTTCCTTTCTCAGTTAGTAATTTCTCTGCTTCTTTCCCAGAGAGGTGTCCATGAAACCACCTAAATTTGTTTAAATGAAAATCAACTGAGTTCTGCCACGGGTTCACAGTATTCTTTCACAAAACTACCATACATAGCCAGCTCTCCCAAACACTATTAAAAAACAGACCCATTCCTCCAAGGGACTGGCCAATCCTGCATGAGATAATTTGCATCCCAAGCAGGCAGAAAAAATGAGAAGGATGTTAAGAATAAGCATTAAACTTTTAAATGAGCCCACAGTCATTTGTAAACAAATGCCCTCAATCTTTCCTATTTTCTTTTGAATCTCCCATCTTTTAAAAATGCACTTTGTCTTTTCTCCATGCCCTACACCAAAACGACCAACTATTTAATCACAGCCATTTAAAGAAATTAAAATAGTGGTGCCCGGGTGGCTCAGTGGGTTAAGCACCTGCCTTCAGCTCGGGTCATGATCTGGGTGTTCTGGGATCAAGCCCCACGCTGGGCTCCCTGCTCAGTGGGGAGTCTTCTTCTGCCCCTCCCCACTCCCCCACCCCTCCCATCCCCACTCATGCTCTCTCTCTCAGGTAAATAAAAAAAAAATCTTAAAAAAAAAAAAAAGAGAAATTAAAATAGAAAGTCATGGTAGAGACAAAAAAAATCATTTGAATGTTTGCCCTTGCTTTGGTATATGAATACTACATAAAAAAGGAAACTATAAATTAATTTAAGCATTCCAAATTTCTTAATATTTCCCACCAATACTTCAAAAGCCTCCAAGTTTGCTGTCAACATCTTTGGACTGTAAACTGGGTTATCATTTCAAGCTCTAAAGCATATAACATCTAGAGAAAGGGTGAGGGATTTTGCTAAAAATGTGAATTCCCATGCCTCCCAACCAGAGATAGCGATACACTAAGTTTGAAAGGAGCCCAGCAATCTGCATTTTTACCCAGCACTCCAGAGTCCTGATGCAGGTCATAAGAGGAAAGACTCTGAGACAACATTACTCTAAGATACTATAAAAAACATTGTAATGGGGCACCTGGCTGGCCTGGTCGGAAGAGCCTGTGACTCTTGATCTCGGGGTCATGAGTTCTAGCCCCATGCGGGGGGCGGGGGGGGAATTATATACATAAATAAACCTTTAAAAAAATCTTAACACAGTTATATTACTAATGTGGCTTTTCCCCTCAGGATCTTGGTAAGAAAGCAAGCACTGTCGTGGCAGAGAGCGCTAATGGCTCATTGCTAGAGGAATATCCTTTGAGTTATTTTTCATCCACCCTCACCTGAACAGAGTAAAATTCAGAAATAAACTGAGTTGGCTAACAGCCTTTTGCTTGAAGCTACAGTGGTAACTGGAGAAACAAATGATCCGCCTGTAACAGCGCTGACATAAAGGTGCAAGTTGAAGAAACCTATCTGAAGATATAAAATATACAAACCTAATCAAGAGACCCGGAATTTGTACTGAGTCAGAAAGGAGGCTGGGAATGTAGAAAACCAATAAAATCAATAAAAATAAGTCAAGTCCCGGATTTCATCAGCTTGGTTCCAACACAAGGGGAAGAAGATCTCTGAAGTAATTTAATTCCCTCTAAGCAAGGTCATTCTCCACATTTGTGGATACAACATAACAGAACTGGTGAAAAATCTGACCCTCCGCACTCTGCTTTTCAGCTTCTGAGCTTAAACTGACATCTGTTGGTGGCCTCGCTGAATAGCTGGTGGGAAGCTACTCCGGGACCTGCTGCTGACTGGGCGCCTCCATTAGTATTTGTTTTCCTCTCCTAACTCTCAGAGATTATCAGCTCAAGTTCAATAATCTTAAGATTACTGCATGTACCAAGTATAAACAGGAATTGCCTGAGACCCCTGCGAAATTAAGTGTAAGGAACACTGATCGAAGCTTTTACAAGAAAGGGGCACTCTGCAAATCATCTGATCCTATGATTCTGGTTTCAGTAAAACTGAACTTTAGTTACAAAGATTACAGCTTGGGAAACAGGTAAAGCCAAAGCCCCACAAATTCATTTGTATAGCATGAGAGAGATGCCCCACAGTCACTGACCTTTCAGAGGTAGGATCTGCACAGTTCAGAGGATATTTAAGCTCAATAACATCTCCATTCTTCTCTTTTAATTGCCCATGATGTTCCATGTAATACTGGACCAACTCAGCCAAAGTGGCAAACTTCTCCCCTCCGTACAAGTCATAGTAATCACCAGTGTTCTGAATCTTGATGTGGGTGACAGCACCATTTCTTCTAAAAGAGTCCATTAGGGGGAAAACAAAAACTAATGAAGAGCTATACTAGTAAAAATGGATGTCATATTCAATATCAAATTTCACCTAAACCTTGAAATACACCCAAGAACCAGTTTACACTTTTCCTGTAACAAACGCAGTGAGTGAAAACCACACAGTCAACCATTTCAACACAAAGGGCTTTGTTTCTTGGCTCCTTTCCCTTCTACAACTTCTACTTTGGAAGTTTGACCTATCAAATTGCATATATTAAGTGACAATAATTCTTCTCATCAGTAATTAATAGACACATATACTAAAGTTAAACATCACTCTATCTTCTAATCCAGTAAATCCACCCATAAGTATTTTGTCCCCCGCAATGAAACTGTATAGCTAACCTAGGACTTGTATAATATTCATTGCAGTTTTATTTAGAATAGAAAAATACTGGAAACTCAAACATTTATCACCAAAATGGATAAATAAATAGTTACATACTCATACCCTAGAACACTACACAGCAATTAAAAAAAAAAAAAAAAACAAAACACTGATAACATACAACTACATGGATGAATCGCAAAAACATTATGTTAAAGAGAAAGAGGCCAGGGGTGCCTGGCTGGCTCAGTCGGGAGAGTGTGTGACTCTTGGTTTTGGGTTGTGAGTTCGAGGCCCACACTGGGTGGAGAGATTACTTAAAAATAAAATCTTCAAAAAAAGAGAGAGAGAGAAAAAGAAGACAGACACAAATGAATATATACTGTATGACTTCATTTGTCAACGAAGTTGTAGAATAAGCAAAACTAGTCTATAGGGTTAGAAATGAGAACAGTGGTAGCTACTTAGAAGGAGGGAGATTAGAAAGGGGCACAAAAGAATCTTCTAGGGTGATGAAAATATTTTGACTGCGGTGTTGGTTACAAAAATAAAAACATTTGCCAAAATTCATGTCACTGTACACATAAGATACTGTATATAATCGTACCTTAAATAATCATTTTAAAAACACAGACAACTGACAGTTTCCAGCCTAAGATGGCTAAAATGCTATCCCACTAACATAACATTCATCAAAAGTTTCTAAAACTTGGTATTTTAGTTAGCCCAGGCAGCCTGTGATTTCCATTCAGTTTTCTGAACAAATGAATATATCACAAGGATACTCATTATAACCTTGGGGGGGTAAGACCCCCACAAGTGGCCAGGCACTTCCAAAATGATAACCATTAACCTATATGAGCTTTTAGTCTGACCCTGTAGCATTACTGATGAAGCCTCTGGAAAATATAAACACATTTCTACCAAGAAAAAAAGAATATGGGAACTAAAGAAAATAAGAAAAACTGTCCCATAATGTTTCTGACAATACCTGCTTCTGATTTTTGGTGACATTTTCCAGTGGGTAAAAAGGGTCCTTCAGGTCACCCTCACCTCCGGTCAACTACATCTGACTCTACTTTAACACCTGAGTTTCCCATTTCTAGCCTTTACTTAATGCCATAACACAAAGAAAGATATTTCAGGTATGAACTACATTAATATACAGCCACACAGATGGATCTCAAAAACATAACAGTGCATGAAAGAAGCACAATGTAGAATGATATGCTCAGCATGTACCATTTATGAAAATTTAAGCACACACACAAGTAATACTACGTATTATTCAAGATACAGACATACATACACATATGTCTTATATTTTATTATTGTAAAGATATTTTTCCCTGTAATGTTACTTATTGTATTACTTAATGAATTAGAAGTACGACAAACTCATGAGAGTAGCTGTCAATGGGACAAAAGGAAGAACAGGATCAAGGTTGTTGAGTAAAGGGAAATTTTGTTTTATTTTATATTCTATTTTGAAGGAAAAAAATCACTGGCAGTAAATACAACACGGGTGATTGTACATAATTTTATGTATTTTTCTGTATCTTTTTCCCTCAAAATTAAAAAGGGAGAGCAGGAGGAGATGGGGGAAAAGAGGAAGGGGGATGTTCCTTGACGAGCTGAATATAAGGTAACATAATGATCGAATTTTAAGCATGGGCACATAATAAAAAGGTTAGATTGTCTGCCCAGAACCACAACAATAAACACATCATATGCACACGCATACACGCACACACAGAGGCCCGGGCACATTTCTAACAGCTGCTGTATCACGTATGAAGAAACAAAAAAAGTGAAACTTGGCAGTGTTGGACAGTTGTCAAAAGCAGTGGTTCTAAGTTCACAAAAAAGATATACAAATAGCCTTTAAACACATTAAAGGATGTTCCACTTCAATCTTGATAGAAATAAAAATTAAAATTCAGAGATACCATTTCTCACCTATCAAGCTGATAAAAAGGAAAAGATTGACCACACTCAAATGGTGAAGCTGTGGAAAAACGGGCCCCTCGTATATGACTGGTGGGAGTGCAAAAGGGCACAATCACTATGGAGAAGAATTTGAAAAAACAATGCTATCTGTGCATTTCCTCTCTGCCCCAATCACCTCACTCCCAGGAATTCACCCTGAAGACAGCTTTTCAAAAGCACAGCACATATGCAAAATGTGATCACATTTACTGTAGCCTTATCTATCACTGTTAAATACTAGAAAAAACTTGGGCGCCTGGGTGGCTCAGTTGGTTAAGCGACTGCCTTCGGCTCAGGTCATGATCCTGGAGTCCC